GTGACACCCTCCAAAATTGTACAGAAAAGTCCTCTAAGTCCAAAAGTTCAGTCTCCATGTCTTTCTTTGTGTTATGATCTTGTTCTATACAAATAGACTTTTACAAACATTTATTTCAGCCTGAGGTGTTAAGGTAGCAGTTTGAGGGTCTCTTCTTGCCTCCGTGCATGCATTTAATTTGACTAATAGTAAATGCAAGACACAAAAAGGAGGATGGATTGCTGTGCACCAGGCAGAGTAACATTACCTTTGTTTCTACTAAATGTTTTCTGTACCTACATAATTTTGTGCTTTACAAAGTCCTTTTGATTTAAACTAACTTCTGGCTCTACAAATATTTTTATTTTTTTTAACTTGAAGTTGGTTTAACCATTGGCAGAGTGAGACTTTTAAAATTAAATAAAACAACTGAAAGCTTGGAGCAGTGACATGCATGACGACTTCTTTTATTTGTGTTTTTTTGTATTTGTGTGTTCTTGCTGTTTTGTAGCTTTCGCGCTCTAGTTCAATGAGTTCATTATCACGTGAAGTAAGCCAGCATTTTAATCAGGTACATGTGGCTGGCCATTCTCATTTATGTTAACTTCTTTATTTTCCCTTCTTTATTTTGCATTTGCTCAAATACTTATTAATGCTACTTTTAGCCATTTTCCTGTCTCCTCATTTCACAGAAATAGCATTAAAAGTGAGTAACGATGCAGCGTTCCTTTTAACGCTCAAACAGGGTCTTCAAACCTTTTTTGTATTTGCAAATGCACATAATCCAGGCATGCTTTTTGTTATGTTTAAGTTTCTAAATGATTCACTTAGTAATTATGATCAACCTTTTTCTGGGATACCAGAGGTCAGTTAATTTTAAAATCAAGTAACAAGAGTCAAGCAAACACAAAAGAAAACAAACAACTGTTGCTGCCAGTTTCAAATCAGTGATGACACGTAGCTTATTTCATTTGCAAAACCCCTGTAGGAATTAAAGGAATGCTTCATCTCTGCTGTAAGTTGAGTACTCTAGGGTCACCATAAACGGGTGGCAAGTTCTTTCTGATAGTTTATATTAAAAATATAGTAAAAAATGACACAGACTGTTTATTTTGGGGCAAGTCCTAAGGTCTACTAACAAAAGCGGAAGGTACTAATCCGGTGAAGTCGCACTTGGTGTCTTGTTTTGGTTTTGCATGCCTTGGATTTTCAGAGCTACCTACAGTTTATGCATGTGACATTGTTTTGCCAATTCCTACATTAAGCAAGTAATATTAAAGATATGGATGCGAACCGTACCGGCACTTTTTGCAGTTGTTACAATATGCTGCTCTGTATGTATTATTGGCATTTTTACTGTGAACATTTCCTTTGTGTGCCTGAGCAAGCCAAGTTTGAGAGGCAGTTCTGTAACACTCATACAATCCCCTTTGCAGCCTTCCGCCGTACCACCCTCAGGGGGACCTCCAGCAGGAACAGTACAGTTCTACAATCCCTCTCAATTTGCACAAGTGAGTAAAACCCTAGTTGTTACCTGAAACAGAGCTAGAGACTTACTTGTCCTGTGTGTTAAGCAAAGGGAAGTATTGCTTGGGTAAATCAACTATGCGGAGCCCTCTTTAACTGTTTTCAATCAACATTTGCCCCTAAAGGAACTATGTTTGGCCTCACGTTTTAGTACAAATTCTGCTTTTTCTTCTCACAGTTTTCTTACCATCTCTTAGCATTTTGATCGTACTATCACTGTCTTTGTTTTTCCTAGTTACCTCTCATCCCCTCCTGCTCTTATGTATTGTTTGAAAAGTAATCCCATTTGTCTCCCTGCTTTCCCTGCCTTCATAGCATTTGGGAATTCTGCAAGCTAAAGCAGTGGAATTAGCAACTGCTACTCTGGTCTTTCATTCATTCTTCTTGAACAAAGCGTGCAGAGTTTAAAAAGTGGCATGACACAAGACGCAGTCTCACTGTAGGTTTAATTTCTATTCTCCTTTTTCAGTCTCCTGCAGTTACTGGAAGTTCAAGGCTGGGAAGAATTGGACAGAGGAAATACCCAACGTTGAAGTAGAATACCGTGGTTTTGTATTCAAATTCACACTCTTGTTCTGATTATACAACGAACTCTTCAATCTTATGGCCCGTGCATCAGTGCTAGCTTGCAATTAACAGGACAGTAATTTGAGGATGGGTGATTTTTTTTTTCCTGAGTCTTGCTACTCGCACCTCATCTACACAAGTAATTACCAAACATAAAATATATGTACCTTTTCCTTTTAAGAACTGGCTAGAAACAGCTCGTTGTGGTAAAGAATAGACCTAAGGGAGGAAATAGCTGCTGTCTGTTACAAAAACTCTTGGTAAATTGCATAGGCAATTGATTCCTTAAGTTTATTTTAAACGGACTAGTGTGACTTTCAGACATAGGTGTCAGGGATTCCTTAATTTCTGAAGGAGACTCCCCTCCCAGTGGGGAACATACATGTCCACATTGTAATATAACACTCTGTGGCCTTAAGAGGACCATGCACAATTTTAATGCTTATAAAACAAGACTTGATTTGTCAACATACGAAATTCAAGATGTGCTCGTTTGTTTTTGGAAAGGGGGAGGGGGGAAGAGGGGGCCACAGCTCATCCAAATAAATTGACCTATATTGAATGAAAACTGTGACTGTAATCTAATACTAATTTGATTTGGATCTTGCCTAGTATGTATGTAGTTCGTGGTTTAGACTTCTTGTAAAGCAAATTGTATAGTCTGAAAGAAGCTCTGTATAATAGCCAATGCTGTACTAGTTGATGAGTGAGTGTCCTTTTAAGTGCAATATGGTTACTTGCTTTCTCAAACTGCTGGCACTGTGTAATTAGCGAGGTAACAGCTTGGAAGTCATTTAATTTTTTTCCTCTTAGGTGCCAGAATCTGTCTGTAATACTCTGTTCTTGAATTCCCATTACTAAAATAACCAAGGTCTTAAATAGCTAACAGCTAAATTCTGAACATGCTAAAAGTAGGTGGATTAGATCTCTACCACTGGACTTAAAGAGCTTTAGGTTTAATAGAGGAAATCTTGAAAACAGTGATATGCAACATTCATATTCACATCCACAAAAAAGAGAGAATAAACTTTAAATATTTATTAAAACATAGACCCTATTTTATTTAGAATTTGCCATCCAAAGTCTTTGATTTTACTTGAATTTCTACCCTGGAGTAGAAATACCATGAATGTGAAATAACCTGTGTTGGCCCTAATTGTTTGTCTCTTCTTAAGCATCATCACGTTTGAGGTGGGGATCGCCTTACCTATGCTGGAGAGGGTTTATACGTAATTAAGAGAGAAATGAAAAATAAAGCGGGGAGGGAGGGGGGATCGGAAACCCGCGGTCCTCGTCCGTGCTGGGGCCAGGCTGGAGTTTCCTTTTGTACCTAAGAGCCGCCCGGCCCCGCGGTGGCCGCTTGTCCTGGCAGTAGCGGCCACCCCAAGCCCTGCGCTGGGGGGCTGCGCCGGAGCTGGGCGCCGCCGTCTTTCCTAAGTGTAAGATTTGACACTGTAAATTCTTAAATAAACTATTTTGCGCTCTGGAGCACTTTCACACCTTGCTGCTCGCTGTGGTTATTGCTGGAGCGAGCGCGGGCCGCGGCGGGGCCCTCCCGCCC